ATCTCATGTTGTTCCAAGCAACACATAATTTGCAGAGTGCATTCATTTATGAAAATGCCAACACAAATAGTCAAGCTGTGTTTCTGCTTTACTTAGTGGTGCTTCAATATTTCTGCTTTTTAATATGCATGAAGGAGAGGGGGGGGGCACTTTTTATTTCTGCTTCCTTTCTTGCTGAGGGGACAGCTGTAATTGCTGGGATACAGACTCCATGGAGCTGCAAAGCAGCCTCAATGCTGAGTAGCTTTCGTGTAGGCTGTGGACTCTAAAATAACAGGAATCGGAAATGTACAGTTCATTAATATTTAAACTCGCAGATTGAGCATGATGGGAATCTGGCTGCTTCTGCGCTGAGACCAGCTTCATCTGAGATCCTTACTGGTGTTCTCTGTAAATTTCCTGGTGGGCAAAAGGCTTTTGTGAAAGAACAGGGAATGGCTGGCTTGCACTAAAAACCACAAAACAACAGCAGATTGCAGTGGGCTCATTGCTTGAACCTGCGTACTTGTTTGAGCGTTCTGGCGCTGCCGTCACATCATCCAGGTGGGGCTGCACATTGTTGGTGGTGGTGGAGGGGAGTCCCCATTACCTGTAAAGCACTTTGAGTGGAGTGTCCAGAAAAGCACTCTATAAGTGAAAGCAATTATTGTGGGTGCAGTGTATCTGCATGTATCTAATCATCTCTGGATTGCTGTCCCCCACCTTCGGTGTAATTGGCTTGGCTCAGCTGATAAGGCTGATTTTTCCAAGTCCTCTCCTTAATCTAAAGAGACGCACTGAGTATGCCCCCTACTGCTTGGACAGGCTTGCTGGCAGGCATCCAGAGCCTTGGGTCGGCTGATGAAAGTGGTGCTCAGGATTAGTCTTGCAGAGGGTAATTCCGACCTGCGCTGCAAGGGGGTAATTCCTTTCTGCGCTGCAAGGGGGCCAAGATGTTGTTCCCCTCAATCCCTTGCCTATTTACAAGCAGACTGATGTCTATAACACAACGCAACACAACATCACTTAATTAGCCCCATACAATATCCTGGGTTGACAAGCTCCAAATCACTGGCACTGGGAGAACTCAGTCACCAGCCCAATCTATCCCTTTTCTGCAGTATTGTATTCACTGTCATTTCTCTGCCAGGTAATTATAGTGCACAGGCAAAGGCTAGACAGGTTATTCTACTAGTCTTTCAAATGGGAAGAGATATAGTTTATATATAGTTTTGCTACAGCTTGCCTTAAATTACAATTGCCTTAAAATAGGCATGGAATTCTAAACCCAAAAAACTTTGGTAAATGTTTTCACTGCTGCCTGTTATTAGAGGAGAAACTCAGAAAATTAACCCAGCACACTGTCCCTGTATTCAGGAGGGTTGCTGACAGAATTTATTTTACATTGTATCATGCAGGATATCAATTACCCTGCTCTCAATATGCACAATACCATCAATCTGGTGAATCTGGGTTTCTGAGCCCAAAGACAGAGTATTGGTAGATTAATTTAGGAATTTTTAAAGCATGTTAAAATAAGTTGCTATTATGCATCACAGTGTATATTGCTTATGGGTTTTTTTCCAGAAAATATGCTGTGGATTTCTATCATGCATTGTATTTGTGTGCATGCTCTACAGAGAAGACAAATCTCCAAATGCTTCCATTTGAACTTAAATATTTCATGACCATGTCTGCAGAGACTGAATTGTCAGCTGATCTGTGCCGCATAAGGGGAGTTGTTTTCTTTACCACAGACGTGTGGACATCAAGAAACTGCTTCTTTTTTCGAAATAAGAAAAAAAAATCATCATCACAGAAGTAAGCTGAAAATCGGATGACCTGTGATAGTTCAAAGGCCTGTCTGAAAACTGCGCACTGATCGTGGAACAGGTGCTCGTCTGCAAACCCTTGCTACTACTCAGTTCATCAGAAGCATCACATTGTAACCGTACAATACATAACACTGACAAAGACAGGATACAAGTATGCATCCTTGGCTAGCATTTTCACAGAACACCATCAGTCATTTTAAAAATGACGGCCACGATCCTTGACTAAAATGATTGTATGAGTCCATTTTTAAAGTGTACTGTAAATATTTATATTCCTATGTACTAAGGAAAGGGGCACTATTGCTATTATCAAGTGTGTCTGAAGTATACATTCCAAAAATCAGGTTTAATAATTATTTAAATTTTGAGAAGAACAACATTCAGAAGATACTGTGTTTAGAAAGACTTGTTTGTCTTTCTAAATATATTACCTGTTGTGATAATTTAAATAGATGTAAGAGCCCTTTAGTGTAGATACTGTATATTCCTTGTTTAAAAAGATTTTTATGTGTCTTAAACATATACATCAAGCTGACCTGAAGGGAATTGGTACCTGGTACTGGGCATGTATCTGCTATTGCACGTTGTTTCCCTGGAGGTCTGAACAATGGAACGTCTTTCCTGAGAGACAATGGTAGGTGCTCAAGCCCTGCATCAGATGACCCAGCCATTGTCTTAGCGAAGTACCTGGGGGATGTTATTTTCATCACTTTCAGTGAAAGTTCATTTTTAGAAAGTCAGCAGTAGAAACAATGTACAATGGAAGGGATATCCGGGCCTTTTTATGTACTATAAATTCTTGTTTGGAACATGATGATGCCACAGCACATGAATAACACGAACATGTAAGATGCTTGGCTTCTCATTGCATTATGGAAATGTGGAAGTCGTATTAATTAATTGCATTTATTAAAAAAAAGTGTTTTAAACAAGAGAGGGGGATCCACTTCATCCACTGACACTGACATTTGACATGAAACACTGTTCAAATCCATATGCTGACTACAAGAAAGCACGGACTCCGAGGGTGTTCAGCTTGCAGCATGTAGTGCTGAAAGGGTTTAGTGGAATTCCATGTTCATGCAGGCCGTGTGGACACCAGCTCCAAGAGGGCTGGATGGAGATAATTCCTCGTCCTTCTCTGCCAAGGATCCAATAAATCTGCATGCTCTCCGTTTTTGGATTGAGAACTAAAGTGCTGAAGCGCTTAGCGGACACTCATCAGGAAAAATTCCTCTGAAGGAGGGTGCCCTGTCATTCCCAGGATTATCCGCCTGAGGGAAAGTGACACAGCCCCAGCCAGGTGTTAATGGTGGAGGAGAGAAGTGTTTTCAGAGAGCATCGCGCGCTTGAAGGGACACTTAGCAGCAACAAAAACAGAATCTTCCAGCTAGTCATGAAGCTTCCTGCAATTCTTTTTTTGGCAAAGTCTAAACAGAGGGACCTTAACTATCTTTATTACCAGCTGCATTGTTCTCTCTGCAGTCTTCTCT